GCCGCTCCTGGGGCGCTTCGCCCTCCCCGGGGCGCCGCGGCGGCGGTGGAGCCATGCCCGGGCCGCCGGTCAGCAGCCGGCTCCGCACGGGTCTGGGCGGACATCGGGCCGGGTCCGCCGGCAGGATCGCAGCACAGCGGCTGCTTCTTCGTCGTTATTATTTCGGTGTTTTGATTAGTGTGTGGTCACTGCTTGCGTGCGTGTGAGAAGCAGCTTTGTGATCTCTTCGGGGGTATCTGCGGTGGGTTTGTTCCAGACCTTCCCAGTAGATCCGGGCTTTATGTTCGTCGTAGCTGTCAGTGCTCTTTTAAACACTGGGAAACGTCACTGAGTTTTTCTTCTCTTAATTTCGGGGCAGATGATGGTGGAGCTACTCCAGTGCAAGACGAACGAGATTCAGGATCTGATGTTGAAGATGAAGGAAATGAGCAGCACTCTGGATCTGAGAATGGAAGTGTAGGGCACCATTCAGAGGTACTGCTGGAACCTTGTCTAGCTACAGATTACTGTTCTATTAACTTTTTTTGTTGTTGTTATTATTTAAGAAGTCTTTATCCTCTTAATACTTACATTTTTATTCAGTTGTTCTTCAGGATCCTGTCTGGCAAAACTTTATTCCTGGAAGGAAATGTGTCAGATAATCTATTGACCAATAAGTAGCACAGCGTATTTTTTAGTTTTCTTTTTAATTGTTACAACAGCATTCACGGTTTTTTACTAGAAAAAAGTTTAATATTGTTGTACTCAATTGCCAGAACATAAACCTTTTGGGTTTCAGTTTCTAAGGAATGAATTATGAGGAATTTGGAATTTTACCTAAAATTCTGCACAGTAACGTAAAGTCACACATTATGGAGGCATAGATTTCCTTACCAAAGAATAGATGCCCTCCCATCTTCCATCTTTACTCAGATGCGAGCGTTGACTCTCAAGTCTGTTTTGTGCTATATTTTCCCCTTGTCATTCACAAACGAGTAGGTCTCCATGTGGAACAGGAGCAGTTTAAGGTTCCTAAATAGAAGTTGTTCTTCCTCTGAAGAGGTTCTTGCTTTGAGAGGTCTACACCATGAAAAAGGTGGTGGTGTTTTGAGCCAGAGTTGTATTTGGGGGAGAGTCACTTAACTTGTGGATTGACCATTTTGGTTGAAAAGAGATTCTAATGAAAGCGAAGGTTCCCTTTAGATTACTAGGACAATTTTGGAGTTATTCTTAATTTCGAGGGGTTTTTTTGTGACTTGAAATAGAATTACATCAGGTCTTACTAGGAACGAATAATTTTGATCTGTGAATTTTGACCTTTCTTGTGCCAGCAAAGTTATGTTACGGACAACTTTTTGATACTCTTAAAAATTGTAATGAAAGCAGTTTTGTTCTGTTCTGCAAATTTTGTTGCATTTTTTGTAAAGATCAGGATTGACTTTGGGTTTTCAGTGGTTATACATTTTTAAAATTACTTAAAATGCATGATGTGACATACTGTAACAGACTCGTGTCAAAAGGCTCAGCTGTGCTGTGGTATAACTTGCAATCCGTTTTCTTTTGCTTTTTTTTCCCCCTCCACCTCTTTATTGAATTCATACCTCTCTCAGAGTTAGAAAGTAGGTGCAGATTTTATATACGTATAAAATGAAAGTTCTTTCTATTTATTTGAATTTGAGTGTAAAGCAGATTTGGAATTTTTTTTTAAAAAAAAGGTGTTGATATTTACAATGGAAGAAAGTGATTTGGTGTAAGGCAGCATCTCTTATTGTGACAATTAGGATTTCAGTGTGGGAGAAAATATGTTTTTCAGCATGGGAGAAATAACTGTCTTTCATTGGGATTTAGTACTTACATTTTAATGAAAAAACATACGCTGATGAGAGCATGGAGAGTCATGTTGCTGCTACAATATTAAGTTTTTCCTGCTGTGTATGAGAACGTGGTCATTTGTTCTTACTCTTCTGTACTTCTCTGGGATTTTAATTTTATTTACGTGGCAAAGTAGTTGAAAATCTGTTCTAAAGAACAAGTAGTTGACTATTAGTTACATTCAGCATGTCTTTTTCAAATTTAAATAACCAGAATGTGCTAGGATCTGCTGTCAATGTTAACTGATCCTATTCCTGTGCCTGCAGTATCTTAAGGGCTTTGTTCTGTGGTGGCTGTTGAATATTCCTCTGCAGACAAAATACTTCTGAAAGTCCATTAAAAAAAAATCCAAAGAAAAAAAAAATCTAACTAAAAAACCTTTCCATCCGATAGCAAATGTGAACCTTTAGGCCTTAGTACTTTATTTGATTCGGTTCAAATCATAAACATTTGATTATTTTGTTTTGTTATAAAGGCTTGAATTCTCAGGTTTGCTTACATCAAGTTCAGAATGCAACTCAAAATGCAAAAATGTTCAGCAGCTGTATCTGAAAGGAGTAGCTTTCAGTGATTTATCACATTATTTACCCTAAGTTTTCTCTCATCCTCTTATTTCCTTCATCTTATAGGAATATGTGGGAGGAATGACACTCAAAGATAATAAAATCTTTGAGACAGCCTAATCAGTTAAGTCTATTTAATTACTATTTCGTCTCTAATTTAGATCTCAGATCTAAAGAACTGAAGTTTTAAACTTTCAAACTTTTTTTTCAGGTTCTTAACTTTAAAGAAAAGGGGAATCCTGAGGATTTACTTATGTAGGTCTCAGGTATGTGGGTTTTTCTTTTCCACAATTCTTTTCTGGCTTTCCTTCCCCCAGTCCCACTTTATCTATAAATGTTCTCCTTGATGTCCTTACCAATTCTGTTTTAGAGAAATAGAATTAGATAACACATAGTTTTAGTACAGTAATGAATATGAAATCATGTTTACAGTGTTTGTACAAGTCAGGCTCATATGGAAATCTTTAATGACTTAGATTCTTAGACTTTCATCAAGTTGTTGCTGTCTTCATGAATTAAGTTATGGGTTGACTGTGACTGTTAACAAGCATACGCAAATATCTTACATTTGTGAAAACAGAAACTTACTGATCTGCCTGTGATGGTTGTGTATGACTTAGCTTAACGATTGTCATTCATGAGATTGAAGTGGATGGGTCAATTTTGTTCAACTTACTAAATTATCAAAGTAGTACCTCTTAAAAGTGGCTGCATGTTGATCCAGTAAACTACTTGCTGACTTAAAATTTTATGTAGAAAGATAACACTGTAAATTTGATTTTGCTGTATTCTTTATTTTATACTGTACTAAAGCCTCAAGTTACAGAGTTCTTTCAGTTAAAAAAAATTAAGGACATCTCAATTAAAATGTTTATAGATAAAGAGGAGGAAGAAAAGAAAGCAAAGGAATTAGAGAAAAATGCAGTAGCAATTACCTGAGACCTACTTGTTTTTGAGGATGTCTGATTTTTTTTTTAAATTAAATATTTGGAAAAGGAAAAATAGACAACTCTAAAATGACGTACTCATTTATTTGAAAACATCTTTTTAGAGACGAACTAGTAAAAAGAAAAAAGAGGGGGGTGAGTGGAGGGGAGACTGTCCTACAGAGTTTAGTCATCTTACTGTAAAGTTGCATGCACTTTTTATATCAAGTGTGTTCCGAAACATTCACAGATTTCATTAATTGTATTCAGAAGACCTTTGCACTGATGGCTGCGGACAGGGCCTGTCTGTTCTGTGTAGGCTGTGAGCAAGTCGGCTCTGTCCGCTCAGCTTTAGAAGATGCTCGGTCGTGTTGATGTGCGGAGTCTGAGGTAGTGTGTGTCATCTCTCTGCGAGGCTTACTGCCTGGACTGATAGAGCTGTGTGCTGTCTGGGTTAGCTCTGGTCGTGTGTTCCAGACTCAGGACTTGAGGAGATGGTGCCTCTCTGCCCAGTCTCTGGGAGGATACCTGTATTGTCTTAGTGGTTCTTCTGTAGGTGGTTATATTACAGTAGAGTTCAGCTGCTGATTCCACTGCACACTGGGATTCCAGGGTGCAGAGCACTGTGTAATCACAGCGTGAGCTAATTAGAATGTGTATCTGCTCCTCCTCCCCAGACGTCTTCATTCTCAAGAGTGATTGTTGGTTTGCAGCTACAGATCAGAGATTCAGTATATTGTAAAGCGCTTCAGTAGTAATGCTGTGTAATTGCGATGACTTTGTACCAAGTATTTTGCATAAGAAATTCCATGTAATTTAGTAATATACTTTTAATAGGTGGATATATAACCTGCAGCCACACTTCTGATCTTAGAAACATTTAAGAATCGTAGTGGATATGAGTTGGCTTTTAGTTTTGTTTACTTGTTCACCAAAGACTTTCCAGACTGGCAGTCGATGAGCCTAATAGTTCAAACAGGAGTATTTGTATTGTTTTCCTTGGTTTTGTTTAGCAAAATCGCTTATTACTGACCTAATTATCAGTACCTATTCAGCATTATCCATCTGAAATCGAGAGAAGACAGACAAACCCACCAAAAATTAAATGGTAGGAAAATAAGGATTAAAGAATTTCTGTTATTAGAGACATCAATTTCAGTGTAGACCTCTGCGTTTCAGTACTTCTCAATGACCTTACCTGTAACACTGTTGTAAAATCTCCGTGTCCTGTTCTGTTTACAGCTGCAGTTTTCTTTAATCTTAAATAATACAGTCAGAGAAAATGTTAGTTTATGTGGGAGATACTGGGCAGGAGAGAGCAATTAATTTTTTAGTAAGAAAAAAAGAAATAAAATGCCATAACGATCAGCAGTTGAGCACGTGTGTGCTCTTCCTCAGCTGTGCACCCTCAATTCTGTAACTTCTTAATCTTTATATTTAGTTCTTTAAAATTCTGAATTCAGGTTTTAATAGAACCATGTTTCCTTTCTGTAAGGAGAAATACTGAATAGTACCACCAGCGTGATTCAAAAGACTAGCACTGCTCTACAGACAGGAACAAGCAGTAGAGGGAAAGGTACTCACTTAGCTACAAAACAGCCGCTGTGATAATCTAGCATTAAGTAACATGGAAATAGTGAAGTTGTATTTGAAGTGCATATTCTAAAATTATCTAGTCCTGATTTTTTTCCGTTTTGCAGTAACATTCTGTTGGTGATTCTGCAGTAACTTAGAAGTTATTATTGAGTGCTACTCACAGTCCAAAATCTTAAAAAGCAATGTTATTTACTACTTAGCGTACTTCTGGAGGGAGTAGTTCCTAAAAGCAGTTAAAATTAATTTTATTTAAAATTCCTTCTTAATCATAAGTTTTAAAGATTAATAGTATTGTTTGTTGTAGGTGTATGATAGATAAACCTGCATTATTGCGTATGGCTCTGAATGTGGGAGTAGAATGACTACAGAAAATAAAAATAGATAGGAGCTCTGCCTTTCCAAGGAAATTCAATTACTGACAAAAAGGATTTGGAAGCTCCGGGACATACAGGTCTTAAAGTATCTCCTAGGACAAGAAATACTCGGTTTGCAGATATGCTAGTGGAAGGTGTCTATAGCTGAGACAAAATTAACTGTGAGGAAAGCCTTACTGAAGAGTGGAGTGGAGTCTGTAGAAAAGTTGTTCCTTTTACAGTATTGTTCTTTTCAGTTGAAAGCGGGATTATCGTGACAGTGACTGGGAGAGGTGTACTGAGTTAACGAAATGGGTGTTCAAGAGTCTCGTTTGTTTTCTGAGGTAAATGCAACTGAGACTTTTTTTTTTTTCTTTTCCCAAGTAGAAATTAGATGATGTAGGAAAGATAAAACAAGATGTTGACAGTAATGATACTGACAGGTGACATTTTTTCCAAAAATGGAGCGTGTAGCTCAATATTTTTTGCCATGTAGAAAAAGACATAAAGGATTGTGTTTCAATTCTGAAGTTTTACGGAGATCGGTGTATTTGTGCGCAGGTTGTCTGTGGTGTCCGGATAGGCATGGGAACTTCCAGCTTAAAGGAGAGAAGCGTTGAATCTGTTCTAACACATTGAAACACAAAACTTGTTCATAATAGCCTGAAAGGTCTGACTAAAACTTTATTCCTGTTTTTGGTAGGCTTTTGGTCTTGACACGTTCTTAAATAAGTTTCCTTGGCAAAGAAGGAAAAGGCACGAGTACTCTCGAGCTTCACTTGGAAAGTAATGCATGTGCAGTTTCAGTAAAATGTATTTCATACAAAAAACATCTGTTTGAGATCTTAAGAAAAAGAAAATGACGAGTGCGAGATACTGCTTCTTGCCTTATTACTGGGGATTGGACTAAACCACTTTGAAGGTCTGACTTTTTAAAATAAAAGCACTAAGCATTTACTCTCAAGGAACTGGACCCTTCTTAGCATGCATGAGTGTTTTTTAAACTCGTTAACCATTTCCAAAATATGATTGAGCTGCAGGCTGGGCAGACTTCCGTTGATCTCTTAATGTTTTTCTTCATCGGAAATATTTGATAGTCCTTTGATGCAAATTGTCTAATAATTATTTCTGTGTAGAATGTATTTCAGTTTGCAGTACCTTGGGTAATAAAACTGGAGGAAAGACAAGCAAAAATTCAGAACGCTTTTTGTTTACTTTTCAGAGTTTTTTTTGCTTCGTTGCCTGAGATTGTTTTTCTCTTTCAGAATGAACACAGTGATGGAGAAGATGATGGGCAAATGGGAGAGCCTCATATGACAGACTCTGAAAATGAAGATATCTCAAGGCAAAAAGACAGTGACTCAGATAATGAAGAGCTTCCCAATCACAATGGAAGTGATTCAGACAATGAAGCGGCTCACGGAGGGAAGGACAGTGATTCTGATACTGAGGACCGTCCAAATCGGCATTTAAGTGACTCTGAAAATGAAGATGCCTTAAATCATCGAGCGAGTGACTCTGAAAATGGAGAACCTCACAGAGATCACAGTAGTGATTTTGAAAATGAGGAATCACACAAGCAGCCGGCCAGCGACTCGGAGAGTGAGGAGCTCCAGAAGCAGCCGGCCAGCGACTCGGAGAGCGAGGAGCTCCAGAAGCAGCCGGCCAGCGACTCGGAGAGTGAGGAACTCCACAAACAGCCGGCTAGCGACTCGGAGAGCGAGAGTGTTTCCAGGCACAAACAAGAAATAGAGTCTGAGGAGAGTGATGGGGAGGACCGGAAGGAGGAGGTGCAGAATGATTCGCATCTTTCAGATAATGAACATGTCAGGGAAGGATTTCAGGGCTCTGACAGTGAAGAGGAAGCTCCTAAGAGACGAAAAATAGCAGACAGTGATGAAGAAGAAAAAGAGGAGGAGAAGACAGTGAAGAGGAAAACAGCTATCCTTTCTGACAGTGAGGACGACAATGAGAAAACACGTAAGGAACTATAAAGTGAAAATAATGTGATGGGACAAGCAGTAGTGTTAGAGTTAAATCATTGTTTTTGTGTGAAGAAAACATGTAAGATAGACATGAAACCGTAAAGCAAATTTGTTTTAGAGCACAGCTGCATTTGTAGAGGCTATTGTTCTAACTGCATTTCTGTGTGAATGTATCTCAGATACTTAACGAGTAATAAGTAGGTCTACTAGAAATAAAGGAGAAGACTCTGCAGTGATCTTGCTTTATACTGGCATCTGTTGTGTTGATTATTCCTGTTAGTCATTCCTCTACTTTGTTGTTATTTCTCTAGTCGTTTTTCCCTTGTTTTTTTCATATACTGGGGGTGAGAGTCAGATTTGAAATTACAGGGTTTTTATGAATAGCTGTGGTGTATGGAAGCTTCAGTTACTGATTGAATAAAACAGATTTTAGAATGGGTATGTTTCTTAAGAAATGGCAGTGTTTTTGTGTAGGAAGGCTAGTCAGCTTCCTTCTTGTCCAAATTGAATTTGAGCTAATAGTTTTTTTGAGAGTACCAGTTACCACCTCTGCTACTAGGACATGTTGTAATGCTCCTTTCTGTTGACAGCTGCAAAAAAAGTACGAATCCTTTCTGATGTTGAAGAATCAGACAGCGATGCTGCTTCAGAGAAATCTGACAAAAGGAAGAAAAACATTGTATCAGATAGTGAAGAAGAAGAAGAGGAAGAAAGAAAAGAGAATGCTGGGAAGAAAAAAGAAGAGAAAGATTTGTTCGGCAGTGACAGTGAATCTGGAAATGAACAAGAGTAAGTGCTTCTGGGAATATGAAATTCTTCAGGGTTGCAGATAGTGAGGACTGATCATGAATGGAGAATGGATGAATCCCAACCACAGAATGATTGTCCACCTTCATTGGTGGTGTGAAGAGGAAGGTCAGTAGTAGGTGGCAGAATGAAAGCTGGATCTCCACACAGTCATTAGAAATTTTGCAGAAAATGCATTTCTCACTGTTGCAGTCTAAATAGATAAATTTACTGTTAACCTTCACAGGAACCTGATTGCAGATATATTTGGAGAATCTGGTGATGAGGAAGAAGAGGAATTTACAGTAAGTGTTTTTGTGGCTGTGTCTTGTTCACTTGCTAGATCTAGTCTTCATGGGAAGGTATTCCGGAACGCCCCTTTGGGTTTGAATTCATGTTCAGAGATGTGCTGTATCAGGAGGGAAGCTTTGTATCTGTTGGGACTCACTGAGGTAGTCTTTGGGTTAAATTTATAGCTCTTTGTTGGGAGAGTTACTGGTGTGAAAGTTACAGGTGAAATTAGAAAGCCTTTGTTCATCTTCTGGATCCTCTGCAGACTTAACAGCAGCGTGTCAAGGATCAGAGTCAGGTGCATGGGTAGATGCTCAATCGTAATCCATACCCTGATTTGCACTGTCTTTACCCATCAGGGTTTTAACCAGGAAGACTTGGAGGAAGAGAAGGGTGATGCTGACATGAAGGAGACAGCAGACGAGTCAGACTCTGATGATAACATCAAAAGAGGAAAGCAGTAAGTCAGTGTGTTCTGAACTCTTTTTTGTTAACAGCAAATGGCACACGTTAGTGAGAGGGCTCCTCCAAAGACTGGCTAGGCTGCTTAGTTCAGAAAGGCACGGGACTGTGTCTTCTCATGGACTGCGGCAGAAGGCCCTCTCTCAGCTCATACTGCCTAGTCACTTGGCAGTCAATAGCAGATCACCTGTGCTGCTTCAAAGAACAGTATTTCATGGTTTGCCTCGAAACCTGACTGAAACTAATGTCTAACCAAACAAACATCTAACTCTACTTTTAGCAATTCAGCGTTGGAATCACAGGTGTGTTTCTCTGCTGCTGTAAGGGATAAGGTATGGCAAGAGTTGCCCTCAGCATGTCTCCTGTTTCCTTTCTGTCTGTTCCAGTAGCATCAGAGTCATTGCAGGTACAGGAGAGCTAAATCCTCGCCAGCTTCAGTGACAGCTTTAGCATGTTTTGAACCGTGGATGTTACATGTGTGCATGTCGTTAGCTATTTCCACAAGGTCTTGCAGACTTCTGAGGGCATCTCAGAGCCACTGAAGCCCTTTGCTGGTTTCCCAGTTTGCGTACTGACGATAACTAATTATCTTTCAGGGACCTTGAGATGCAATGCTTGTAGATATAGTGGTGATTTTTTCAAAGGTTACACTGCAGAAATACAAAATTATTTCCTACAAAGTAAGATCAACCTTTTTTCTGACCATCAGCAAACTCTCTTCTCGCATTTCAGTATGGACTTCATGTCGGATTTTGATATGATGCTGCAACGAAAGAAGAGTATGAGTGGCAAGCGTCGACGAAACCGTGATGGTGGAACTTTCATTAGTGACGCGGATGACGTGGTCAGTGCTATGATTGTGAAGATGAATGAAGCTGCTGAGGTGAGTTTTCTAGACTCCAAAGACATCTTAAAATCCAGTTCTGTTCTATGGGAAAATCTTGCGACAGCGAAATACAGAACTATGGCTGGTACTCAGGAGGAGTAATCGGTACACTATGGAAAGCTTTCAATATCCAAGTAACTGTTAAAACGTTATTTTGCTGTTCTGAATTAAAACATTTCTTCCCTTAAAATTTGGAGAAAATATTTATTCATTTTAAATACTAAAATTAGTTGACTTGGTAAACTTTGATCACTGAGATCAACCGCCCTATAAAAAGGGATGAATATGTTTTCTATAAAATACATGAATAAGTATGTCAAGGACTGAGAAATGGACTGCGTTTTACTTTCGTCATACAGTTACTAGCATATGTAACGCTTCAGGGTTTGTTCCTGAGAAGAACCCTTTTCTAAACTGTTTGAATGACAGTACTGTGGTTAAGTGATGGTAGAGCAACAGAATTATGGGAAGCTCTACCTTAGCAAATGGGCTTTTTCAAGGAGTCATGTTTAATACGTTACTGTGCAAGGTTTATCGGCGTCGTACCTTTTGTCGGGTGTCTGTTGTGGTTCTGCTATTGTTGCAGTAGCAATCAAATTAACAGCACTGCAAAACTTATTAAAACCAGTTGGAGGAATATGCAGGGAACTTTAGAAAGAGGAATCTTACAAATAATGGCAACATGTAAAGAATCTTCCTGAGAACAAGATAAGAAGGATGATGTGTTTAGGAAGGAAAGGGAGAGTGAAATAGCGATCTGGGAGACAGTTGAGACTTTCTCAGTCTTTGAGATAATTGCCAGACGTTTCAGATGAAGCCATAAAGTTTGAAATATTGGAGAGAAGGAGGAGCTGATCTCTGGTATTGTGGTGTCTTTAGTTCTCTAGTATGTGCCTGTCAAACCATTCTGGAGCATGAAGGGCATTAGAAGAATCTCCTCCCTTGCAATAAAACAACATTGTGCAGAAATTGCCGTCAGTGTATTAAGATGAGTGGAAAGGAATTACCACAGCAGGACACGAATCTGTTGATTGTAATGGCTCTTTTTGGTATGGGAGCCCAAATGCTGAACAGATAGTGACAGTATGGCCTTGGATGATAGTTGCTGTGAATCCCAGACTTTGTTTTAGCATGATGTGCATTTCTGTGCTCTTATGTTAATTACCCTGTGCTTCATCCTGAAGCTTTAGGTTATCCAGTTATGTTCCTAAGTGAAATGAATATGCATATTCTCACTGTTTTGGTTAGCTGGTTTTCTGTTGTCCAGGTGAGATTTTACTAACAAAGTTTCTAGGTTATCTGTGCATGGCTGGCACAGAGGACTCTGCAGACCTCCAGTTTATTGCAATAGACCTTAATCATGACATAGAAAAACATGTTATTTTAGGGAGAATCTCCTACCTAATGTGTTTTTAAGGAAAATGTTGACTAAGATGGGGACCCTTTTCTAAGAGAAGTCATTATATAATATGTGTTTTGGGGCTGTAGGAAGATGGAGCAGGATACAAAGTTCATGTAATTCTGCCAAAGTTGCACTTCTCATTTAATACGTGAACATTTTTCTTTAAATATTGTGAAGGATGAGGCTGATCTCTTCTTTTGAGTAACTTGCACTGATTCTTCAACTCCTTACAGGAGGATCGACAGCTGAATACACAAAAGAAACCAGCACTAAAGAAATTAACTTTGCTACCAACTGTAGTTATGCATCTTAAAAAGTGAGTTGTCATTCTTCCAGTTAATTGTCATCTTGGGGAGGAACATTGGGAATTTGGTAGATTTCATGGAGTGAGATTACAGTTGTGCTGAGTATGCAGTGAAACACTTGTATTTCTTCCAAGTGAATGCTGGAACTAGGTAGCCTCAAAAACCTAAAATTCTTCCCAATTCTACCTGTTAATTTAACATGAAACAAACTCAAATGCACTATTGTGTTCCTTCAGGAACATCATGTCTTAAGATTTTGACGTATTATATGACTTTGTGGCTTCTTTTTAAACTTTCTAGGCAGGATCTCAAAGAAACTTTCATTGATAGTGGTGTTATGTCTGCCATCAAAGAGTGGCTTTCTCCTCTTCCAGACCGAAGTCTGCCAGCACTAAAGATACGAGAGGAGCTTCTGAAGATCCTGCAGGAGGTTTGAAACTGACGTTTAACCATATTTGATTTGTGATTTTACAATCATGTGCTTTAGGGAAATGTCTGGTGATAAATGTACTGCAGCTGCTACTGATGGACTGTGCTGTGAAATATGCAAGGAAGCGAACTGCAAAATTAGATGTGTTTGTTTAACAGTTGCGTCATTTTAATGAGTCTCATGTTCTAGGCGTGCTGTCTAGCTGAGCAAAATTTGACTAGAGAACTTCAGGCACTTAATTGTTGTGAAGACGGGTAAAATTTTCATAACAAAGTGAATAGCTCTGCTAGCAGCAGGCCAGAGGATGTTTCTGAGTCTCAGGTGACCTACACACATGAAGACCCTCTCTTAGGGTGTTATTTGCTATGGCACTTCTAGATTTTGATAAATCTAAACTGCTTAGTCGCCTCTGTCTTTCTCAGTGGCTTACATGTTGTGATTGGTCACTTTAATTTGTCTTTGCTGCGTTCATAAAATAAGCATGACGTGGTCTTGATAGTGAAGTGAAATTTTTCTTGCAGCACCACTAGCTGGCTTTAATTGACTGAAGCTCTAGAAATATTTCTCCTTGCTAATAATTGACAAGAGTTCTGCCTGAATTGAGATTATTTGGCCCTGCCTGCCTGTTGCAGGTTTATGTGGAAAGTTTAGTGAAGAGTTATTTGCTCTGTTTTTACCTCTTGTGGTCACTTCTCTTTTCTGGCCTATTGAAGTGTGCCGTGCACTAGAAAGCCTGTCATATTCAGTGTAGACTTTGAGTGTTTGTAGCTAAGCTGATTACTTGAATGCTTTTGCCCTGTAAGTTTTTATCTTTATAAAATGAATGCTTTGAAGGCAGTAACTCAGTTCTTGGGTAATAGAAGCAAAAGAGCATTTGGAGTAAATAGTTGCGGAAATTTACTGAATTCTGCATATAAAACCCAAGAATGTTATGGCAGATTTCTAGGTTTTGGTGTTTGATGCTTTAACCAACTCCTAGTGGGGCAAGGAAAAATTTTCATTTTTTTCAAGTTTATTATGAAGGTGAGTTTTGGTCTTTTTGCTGTTCAGTGACACTGTTAATGTTCAGATGTTATTTCTTGCTATTTTCTGACTTTTTTCCTTCACCCTGCAGCTGCCCAGTGTGAGCCAAGAGACCCTGAAGCACAGTGGCATTGGACGAGCTGTGATGTACCTCTACAAACACCCCAAAGAGTCGAGACCCAACAAGGATATGGCAGGGAAGCTAATCAGTATGTAAATCTCCCTTTGCCTTGCCTCAGTGAGATTTCACTGATAATTTAATTTCTGCATCAGTCTGAGTCGCATGGTTTTTGCTGTTGTCTGTAGTGTAATTAATTCTGCAAAGCAGGAATCTCACTAATCAGTGTCATCGTGTTTTGTTTGTAGAGCTCTTAACAAATGCTGTTACATCAATTTCTCTGCTGCACTTTTTCTGGTTTCTTTCATTCTTGTTCTAAACCAGAGGATGGCATTTATTTTGCCCAAATTCTCTCTTGACTAACTAGTCAATTTCATGACTAACCAGTTAATTTCAGCTTGTCCAAAGGCAGGAAGAAAACAGCCTACAGTGGGGCCTGGGCCTCCAGAGGTGGTGTAAAGCATAACATCCAAAGGCCTTCCTTGACTCCACTGCTTCCTCTAGCCCACAAAGAATGTATCCATTCACGTTGTTTGATTTTTTATTTTTTTTTTTCCAGATGCCATTGCTTTCCCACTGTAGTCCTTCTTTTTTTCTTGGTTAGCAAATAGACTCTAATGCATGAGTGAATGATAACAGTGCTGCCTTTCAGTAGACAGCAAGCAAGAGGAAAATTGGGGAGTCAAGATAGCTTTTTACAGACCTCATGTATATGCTACGAAGGTAGGAAGGTGCTGCCAGAAGACATTCCATGGACTTCAGAGAGATCTTAAATGACGTCTGAAAGGTTACTGCTTAAACAGCTGTAGTCTTACGTTTAGTGTGTTCCATCCTAATAACTGCAAACTGATTATAAACCTATTCTGCTCTTTTGGAAATATTTTGCATATTTCTAAAACAACATTCACTCTGTCGTGCAGGAGTTCCTAAGACTATATATTCTAAGAGCTGAGAGAGATTCTAAAAGAGCAGGCAACAGCAAGAGACTCTATGGATGAAAGCTCGCTCTTACTGTCCACAAGGCTGGATTTCGCTGAAAGATGAAGAGCTCAAAAATAATTTGTTTGGTTGAAAGGAAGCATAAATACTTGCCATAAACTTTGAAAGCTGTATTTGGTCACCAGAATGGTTTGGAGATAAACTTCAGAGGCCTAGTGTTCATTAACCAATTTCTTTTATGTTTTATTTTTAATAGATGAATGGTCTCGACCCATCTTTGGCCTTACCTCAAACTACAAAGGCATGACAAGAGAAGAGAGGGAACAGAGAGATTTGGAACAGATGCCTCAGCGAAGGAGACTGAGCAGGTAGGAGTAGCAGGCAGAAACATAAAGTCTTTCTTTCTAAGACTCCCATCAAGAAAAAACAAAGTGGTGTGTTAATACTAAGGGAAATAAAAGGACAATGACCTCTCTCTTTTCTTTTACCACACTTGACATTCTTTTAAAATTGCTTGCTCTGTGTGTAGATTCCTATAAAATTTTATTTTTCTTGCAGCTCTGGTGGTCAGACTCCCCGCAGGGACCTGGAGAAAGTGTTAACTGGAGAGGAAAAGTAGGTTGGATTTTTATTTCTTTTTTTTTAGAATTTTGATTAGAAAAAAGCATTTCAGTGGTACTAACAATATGCAGTTTGTTTTGAGGTTTTAGAGGCAACAGTTATGCGGTGTTTCAGAGGTGGAACACGCTATATTGCTTGTGCTTCTTTCTGTGCAAGATTTGTCTTTAGCAGTCACATCTTCTTCTCTGCAGGGCTCTTAGACCCGGAGACCCCGGGTTCTGTGCCCGTGCGAGGGTGCCCATGCCTTCCAACAAGGACTATGTGGTCAGGCCAAAGTGGAATGTTGAGATGGAGTCCTCCAGGGTAAGCACTGCGGTGTGGGGATAGCTTGGCCTCTCCTAGTCACTCTGTGCCTGAGCTGTCTCTAAGCCTGAGATCTGTCACCTTATTGCTGTCGTTACTGTACGATGTGATAGCTCTTTTAAGTGCCTTTTCTAATCTGAGTAGACAGTAAGTTGTGCTATCAAGTGGGCTGGTTTAAGCTCATCAAATGCTTCCATTCAGGTATCATTGATTCTCTTACGAAAAAGAGATTTTCATGTTAACTGTTCTAGAGTTTCTCTCTAGGTGAGAATCTGATACAGGCCTCTTATTGTAGAGCATTTTAAACTAAAGCTGCAATTCAATAAGTGTGTCACTGATAGTTTTATACCTCTCCCAATTTTTGTATCATGTTCTGATAATATTCCAGTTTGGAAAATTTTGAGGTTTTGGTATATGTTAACACTTTCAGTAGAGGCCTTTTCCTTGCTTTATTTGCTTCAGCCATCTACCTTGTACAGTTTAATTTAAAAGCAGATTACATGGTAGCATACATGTAAATGGAAAAAGTAATAATTACTGTGCTTTCTGCTGTTCTCTCTCCTTCTTGCATTAATTGAGATATTGTTTCTAGCCCGGGACTATTAAGAGAGGTATTAGTCGCTTGGAAAAACACAAGAGACGGTTTGCTGAACAGAAACGACTCAGCAAAGTGCATCGGGCCATCAAGTTCAGCATTGAAGGCAACAGGATGCCCCTGTAGCCATGACACTCTGCCTTCCCCAAGTTTGAGAGGTATCCCTCAAGGGAGGTGTGAACAGTGCATGTGCTTCAGCTGTTGGCAGTTTGCACATACAGGAAAGGAGTGTGTACACCCTAATTTAAACCTGGAAAACTCTCCTTGTGTTCTAATGTCTGTACTGTGACCTCAAAGGTAACTTGTACAGGAAAAAATAGGCTGTAGCACATAACATCTGCCATAATACCTGCCTCAACAGCTTCAGGGTACCCACGTGACAAGTGTTCAGTGAAAATACTTGTGCTCAGAAATAGCTTTGCACCACCTGTGGATTTGAATGCTGTTCTGACTTAATTGGGTTCTGCAGGTTTACCTGAACTGGCACACGGGAACGGTCAGCCCTTAGTGTAGGGCCTCCTGTCACTGTATGCTGACATCTGTGGGTGATGTTTTACTGGTACCAAGTAAGGTGTTTTTCACACCTGCTTTTTCAAGAAGTTGAGTTATGTGAGACTTTAGGGGAGGTTAACAGGAGGCAGAGGATGAGACACCTGCAGACAAGGGGGAGAAGAATCCCCTGCTGTGAATGTGGGGTGGAGGGAGATCAGTAAATGGCGTACATCAACGTGGGAAATCTTTCAACAATTTCTAGTCTGCATTTCAGTTCTGTGAGCAGGGCTGCCACAAACTGACAGTGACAGGAAGAGGCTAGCACAAATGGTAGATAACTGTTGAGTTTAAGCTTGGTATTTATTTGTTTAAAAAAAAATATTTTTTTAATCACTCTGAAATTCCAGATGTAATTTCAATGAATAGCGACTAGTTTTATGAATAAAGTTTATTGAAAATCAGTGTGTCAGGAGCACCTTCCTCAGTGATGGGAACAAGAGGTTCCGTTTCTAGTAGATGTGTTTTGTCAGATATCAAGTAGCATGTTTTGGATATCTGTTTCCCCCAGACTTTAAAGGTGTGAAGTTTCCATCAGTTATTGTTTCGGTTGTCTAGTTAGGGGAGATTGCTTTCTAGGAACTAATGGCTGTGGATTAGAAGGTCCTCGCTGCTTGTCTTCAGTGGCATTTTTTACAGAATCACTGTATTTAATCTGTGCAAAATAACTGCTGTGTCATCTAGGTTTTTCATTTGCAGTTAAAATACAGAGATGAAATGCAATAACTCTTCTAATAACTTGTATGGTTGTTTTAGGCATTTCTTTTGCTTCCTCCTCCACTCCCTTTTTCCTCTTGCTTTCTAAGTACTAATCAGTGGCCTTTAAATGGCGGTTTGGAAATGATCTGTCAACTCAGTCCACCTCAGTTGCTGTGTATTTGTCTCTAAAACGCTTCGCCCCACAGGAAGCCTGTATGTATGAGACTGTAGTGCAGTATATTTCCAACGCTAAACTCCAGCCGGAACGGAGACAAAACTATTCCAAACTGTATATTCAGCTGATGTGTGAACAACTAACACCGTTATTAATCCCTGTAACGTGAAGGCTTTACTGTGGGATGTTTGTGAGTGCGATGCAGATATTGGGGGAACCGTTTTATCCACTTTGTGGGGAGAGAACGTGTGCACGTGCACACACATGCAACCAGTTGGAACCAGTGGCTTCATCAGCTCCCTCTTGCAGGTCTCACCTTGCGTGCATTGCTTTTCTTGAACCTCTGGGACGTCTGCTTTTTTTCAGTGGTAATTATTAGTTTTATTTTTTAAGTTCCAGGGGACCTCTAAGAAAGGGGTGAGTCGACTGGACAAACAGATGCGGAAATTCACAGATATCAGGAAAAAAAGCAGATCGGCCCATGCAGTGAAAATCAGCATTGAGGGCAATAAGATGCCATTGTGACCCTTCACAGAATACCCCATGATCTCTGCTGTAAGACAATACACCCATAGACTCTTGGGAGACCTTTAAATTTTTTAACAACTTGTTTGGGGTTTTTTTTAGTGAATCTTTAAATTGTTGGTTCAGGTTCTGGTATAGGATGTTGTCCGAGGACTGTGAATATGGGGACTTCTTTCTCCTGATTGTATTTAAAATTGTTCTATTGTGTCCTTTGTACAGATCATGTATTTGTTGTATTGCAACACTTTAGACAATAAAACATCATCTCTTTTTTGGGGGGGCTGTCTGGTGATTGGTCAAGAGAATGCACGTGCAGAACACTGGGTATGTGGAAAAACTGTTAATTTTCTGTTTACCATTGTCTGTTTCCTCTTTATTCAGTGCTGTTTAATATTAATCAGTTGTTCTGTCTTTGGAGATCTAAATGTATTGTTTTTGATTAGAAATCTTGACCATCTTCCACTCAAAGGATTTAACTTTTCATGGTAAAAACACAATGTAAAGTTCAAGAAGACGACCAGCAGACCAAGCACTAAAAATTCCAGTGGCTTCCAGCTAAAACACTTGATGTCAGACAGACAGCAGCATTCCACCACTGTTGATCCTCCATGGGAATGGCAAAGCCTTTGATGGTGACTGCTATTGGAGAAGAAAGGGCTGCAGCTAAAGGGCTTTTCTGTGACGTGTGATAGCACAGGTGATTTTTGAAGTGAGGCTTTGGAATCGAGGTTAGTGAGACTGCTCCAGGAGACTCAGTATCTGATTGTTAGGCACCTTTTTGGGTGCTTTGTGCAGCACTTAGATTGACTGCCTGGAGCCTTTGCTGCAGATGCTGCTGTGACTTCATTTTGTAGAGTTTTGAAAGCCATCACATTTTTTGTTTTGGTATTTGGTAGCTCAAATGCGTGTTGCTCTGCAGCCCACTAGTGACTTCCTGAAAGGTTTATTTTACCAGCGTTAAGGAAGAGGTTCCTGTCTCTGCATTAGGGGGATAATGTCGCTGTTTCCTTGTCCCTGGTGCTGCAGAAAAAGCAGAACAAAATTTTGTACCTCTGTTTCTTTATCTCTACCTCTGAAAATGTGTCTGTCTGCTGAGCTTGCCTAAAGAGGACTATTCTTCTCGCATGGGTAACTGGCAGTTGGGATTTCAGTCAGAAAGTCACCTTCGTGCCAGAAGAGCAGAGCCCGTTTGCTGTCAGGTGTGTTCTGTAGCTCTGTGAACACTTTGCTGTGGGGATGGTGGTGGTGGCTGACCTCCAGCACCTGTTGGCACTGAAAATGGAGAGAATGTACGTGGGTGGTCGCATTTCAGATGTGCTCCTGTGAGACTGCACGGGGCTGCGACAATAAAATAAAGCTCTGTTGGGACTCAAACTTGAACCAAAAGCGGAAGATGCCTGTGCTGGATGGAGCCTGCTAAAGGAATTCTGCATGTAAGACTGCTTCAGCTGCTCTTGCCGGGTATGCCCGTGACACAGTACCTGACCTCAGGGTGTGTTTTTAGCATGCTGAGCATTGCAAGGGTTTGGTGGTTTCCCCTCTCCCCCCCCTCCCATTTTTAATTAATAATTTATTGAAAGATAGGGAATTCCTTAGTGCCATATTGGCTAGAGCAACTGTGTGAAAAATGAGTGAGTGAATAGTGTAGAGCTATTCATACCCAGGTTCTGTTTGGCCCTGAAGGTCTATGGGTTAGATGACTTTTTTTATTTTCTCCCAAAACTATTTTGTACTTCTGGTATTGCAGTCATGGGGGACTCTGGGCTATTTTTTACATCCTAAGAGCTGTTTCCTTGAAGTACTGACCCTGGTGGTCTTGTGCAACCCTAACACAGTGTCTTGCCATCAAAATGAATCATGATACCTCGGCATAACGTGCTCTCTGAGGCAAACAAAAAGGGTCTGCTGCTTGTGAAATGGTAATAATTGCAAGGCTTTGAACAAAGCTGAGGAAGACAACCACTCATCAGTGGGCGTGCTGGTTTGTCTTTCAATTAAAACTTCATAGTGAATTGCAAGAAAGGTCACAAAAAAATCAAAATGTCTTTTGATGTGGGTTGCAAAGAGCACCTATGGCAGCAGAATGTAGGTACTCAAGAATTAATGGGGGTTGTTAGTCTGACCCACAGGTATGTTATTTTCCCTGCGATTTTGGCATCGGGCACTTCTGCTTACGCTGTGTGTGGGAAATCAGCCCTCGGGGGGATGGCAAGGGGCACACAATGCATGGCCCGTCTTAGGATGAGAGAAACCTTGTCTCGTGCTGTGTGGGCTTTGTTCCCCAGCAAGTGTGCTCACAAATACCTCATGTCTGATTTACTGGATTTCATCAACAATTGGGAAAGGTAAATTGTGTATGGGGGGGAGGGGGGGGATGGCTGAGGGTCTGCACGTGTCCCTCCCTGCACGTGTCTGTGTGTTTGTGTTCCAGTGTGACTGCGACCTGCCATGTGTGTCTGTTCCCATGAGTGTGTCTGGGCACATCGCTGGGTGCACGTCTGTCCCAGTGTGTGTGGCCAGCACTGTGTATGTGTGGGCATGTGTGTACGTGTG